TCAACAACTTGATTGGCAAGCTGTATTACCAAGAAATTCCATTGGGCCCTCTTGTTCTCTACATAAATATTGGAAAATGAAATATAAGGTTTTAAAACAATTGAAAGAAAATATGACGCTGAAGATCAGAGGTCAAAGACCAAATGCTAGGTTACAGCCCAGTGCCAGCTACAGACTGCTTCTTCCATAGTAAACTCAGCTGAGATATCTTGCCAGGCAGGAAAATCTTAGACTATACATATATATGTACATTTGTCAATTAGCCAGAATATATATTCTTTCACCTTTAACTTAAAATAACATTTGATTGGTGTTTGGTTTCCAGATGCTCAATTGATGTATTTAAAACATTTCATTTACATTGCAAATTCTTAAATTGTAATTGTGGATTAACTTGACCTTCTCTCTACTTTCTGCTTACAGACTTCTGACAATAACTACGACACAAGATTATGCCACTGTTATAAAGAGCTTTGACTCCTGATTCTAATTGGGTTGGAAATCTCTGTTATTTGACCTGCAAAAGTTTTGACTAGTCTTAATTAAAAGAAATGTTATAATTCAACTGGCCAAATAAAAAATAAATTAATTAAAATTTATAAAATTGAAAATGTAATTAAAAACTTACCAAGTGAGAAAAGCCTGGGCCCTGATGACTTCACTGCTGAATTTTTCAAGACATTTAGAGAAGAATTATTACCACTACTGTTTAAATACTTCAGGGAAATTGAAATGGAATCAGTACTCACAAATTCATTCCTAGAAGAATGCATCACCTTAATACCAAAAGCAGAGAAAGATCCACTTGGAAAAAAGGTGAATCTCACTAATGAGTATAGATGCAGAAATCCTTAATAAGATACTGGCAAAGAGAATGCAGAAAGTCATCAAGAAGATCTATACCTGACCAAGTGGGATTCATCCCAGGGATGCAGGGATGGTTCAACATCTGCAAATCAAAAAATGTAATACACTATATTAATAGAGCCAAGGTCAAAAACCATATGATCATCTCAATAGATGCAGAAAAGCATTTGACAAAATCCACACACATTCATGATAAAAACCCTACAAAAAATTTGAAAAGACAGTCTCTCAATCTGATAAAAATCCATCTATGAAAAACCAACAGCCAATATCATACTAAATGGTCAAAAACTGAAATCCTTCATGCTAAAAATCAGGAACAAGACAAGGATGTCCACTATCAGCACTCCTGTTCAGTATAGTTATAGAAACATTAGCCACAGCAATTAGACAAGAAAAAAATAAAAGGAATAAAGGTAGGAAATGAAGAAGTTAAACTGTCATTATTTGCAGATGATATGATATTCTATATAAATGACCCCAAGAACTCCACCAAAAGTCTCCTAGACTTAATAACCAAATTCAGTAAAGTAGATACAAGGTCAATGCACACACACACACACAAAAAAAATCAATAGCTTTCCTGTACACAAACAACAAACTAAAAAACTAATTGAAGAAGCAACTCCCTTCACAATAGCATCCAAATATTGGAACACCTAGGAATCAACCTAATGAAAGAAATCAAAGACCTCTACTCTGAAAACTATAGCACTCTGAAAAAAGAGATTGAAGAGAATATCAGAAAATGGAAAGACATCTCTTACTCCTGGATAGGAAGAACCAAAATAGTGAAAATGAACATACTTCCAAAATGGCTATATAGCTTCAGTGCAATCCCAATTGAAATTCTGGCAGCATACTTCACAGACCTTGAGAAAATAATCCAAAAATTCATTTGGAACAAGAAGAGACCTAGAATAGGAAAAGCTATTCAGGCAACAAAGACAAGTTAGGAGGTATCACAATCCCCAACTGGAAACTATCCTACAAAGCTATTGTGATAAAAACAGCATGGTCCTTGCCTAGAAACAGACCTGAGAACAGACCATTAGAAGATGCAGGAACAACTCCAGGCACACTCAGCCACCTCATCTTTGATGAAGGAGCCAAATACCCTTACTGGAGGAAAGATAGCCTCTCTGATAAATGGTGCTGGGAAAGTTGGGTTTCAACTTGTCAAAGATTAAAACTAGACCTATATCTCTCACCATGCACTACACTAAAATGGAAATGAATTTAAGATCTAAATATTAAAACAGAAACACTAAACTGGCTGAAAGAGAGGTTAGGGAGAACTCTTGAAGACATTGGCGTAGGAAAAGATTTCATGAACGAAACCTCAGTTGCGTGTGAACTAGTACAAAGTATCAGCAACTGGGATCTCTTCTTATTAAAAAGCTTCTGCACTGCAAGAGAAACAACCAACACTGTGAAGAGACAACCCACAGGGCAGGGGAAAATTTTTACCAGCTGTTCCTCCCAAATTAAAAAACACAATCCAAAAATGGGCATCTGAAATGAACAGACATTTCTCAGACAAAGAAGTAGATATAGCAAATAAACATATGAAAAATGTTCAACATCACTGGTCATTTGAGAGATGCAAGTGAAAAAAAAATGCTGAGATTCCACCTCACCCCAGAAAGAATGGCTGCCATCAAGAAATCAACCAACAACTGCTGGTGGGTCTGTGGGAAAAAAGGAACCCTCTTCACTGTTGATGGGGACATAGACTGGTGCAACCACGTGGAAATCAAAGAACTAGGACTAGAGGTTCCATCTGACCCAGCTATTCCCCTGCTGGGTATCTTCCCAAAAGAATTAAAAGGACCATACCACAGCCATATAGGTGCACCCATGTTCATAGTGGCATAGTGTAATAGCTAAAACTTGGAAACAGCCCAACTGTCCGTCAACTGGAGACTGGATAAAGAAAATGTGTTTTTTAAAAAATAAAATGGAGTACTACTCAGCCATAAAGAATGAGAAATTAGAGACATTTATAGCTAAATGGATGCACATTGCGGCCATACTCTTAAGTGAAACAAATAGGACACACATGTGTAAATACCAAGTAGCTTGTCTGCTGTGAAAAACTGAAAGTGTAAGTAAGGATTCAAATGTATAGTAGATAATATGAAATAAGACGAAAAGATGCAAAGGGGAAGGGGAACTGGGAGGAGCAGGGGAAGGAAAGAAGGGAATGGAATTAATATTAGAAAATGAAAAAATGGAAACGAAGTCTTTGTAAAGAGAGATGGAGTGGTTGTAGGGAGTGCAGGGAAAGGGGAAAAATAAGAATCAAGATTACTGTGTAAAGGTACAAATCTCCAGTGATGAATGTCATTATACTACATACCTAAAATGTACCGATAATTTTTTTTTTTTTTCGTACCGGGGATTGAACTCGGGTCCTTGCGCTTGCAAGGCAGGCCACCGAACTGCTGAGCTAAATCCCTGGCCCAGAAAAATTAATTTTTTAAAAAAGGTCTTCAGTGTAGCTGTGTGTAAGAATTTGTGCGTGTGTGTTTAAAGGGGTTCCTTATAGCGAATTACATTTAACTAGAGTACTAGCATTTGTGGTTTATATACCATATAGACAAAACAAGGTAGATGGCAAGCCTCCCAACAGGGTCTAGTTGGAGTTCTGCCGAGTTCTAGCCCATGGCACACAATGTACAATGGACAGAGGGCTGCCTTGCTGGCCCATATGTTGCACACTAAGAAACCACCCATTCACTCACACACTGAAGTCCGGATAATTCACTCACCTGTGGGTTGATATAGCTGTGATCTAATCAAAGGATTCTGTATGATAGAGGGCATTAAATTTGCCCCTAAGAGAAACTGAGGAAAACTGAAATCATGTCTGCGGCAGGTGGAGTAAAGGTCTCAGATGCCACTGAGCAAGTCTTTCCTGCATTCAAAACCCAAAGATCAACAGCTATAGCCTCACGGGAGGCGCAGAAGGTGCTCTCTGTGGTTGTTAGTACAGCTGAATTCATTTACTTTGCATTTAAAAGTGTGAAAACAGGTCTTTCCCAGCAGAATTGATAGCAGGGCTTGTGCTGACTCTGCTACCCTTTGTATCCTGTGGCATTCACCAACCATCCAGCCAACAAAACACCAAAGCATAAACACATACTTACACAAATAGGTCATCACATGGTTATTCCAGCAGAGCATGGTACTGCACCCCTGTAATCCCAGCACTCAGGAGGCTGTGCTGGGAGCACACTGTGAGTCTGAGGCCAACCTGAACTACATAGTGAGGTCCTGTCCAAAAAAACAAAACAAAACAAAAACAAACAATCAAAAAAACAAAGATACCACATGGTCATTCCTTTGAGCATAAATGATGTGATAATCCTTTGATTTTAAATCTTATTTATTCAACTGTAAATTTTGACTAAAAGAAATTTATCTATATACCTACAATACTACTTGTGGTAATCAATTGTCTTGCAGAAAAAAAAAATGGTGACAGGATTGTTCTTAAAATGAACTGGAATAACTAGAAATCCTAACAACAGATTTTTTTTAGATTAGCTCAATGGTTCCCCGAGTGTGATGCCCACACCACTGGGGGTGCAAGAGGATGTTTAAGAGGTGGATAGGAGAACAGTTTTCAACAGTTTATTGTATCTTAGTGCATATTAGAAAATATACCTAGGTAGCAAATTAAACTTGATGTTTTATAGATATTATTGCTTCAGCAGTAACCTCTTCAATAGGAGACTATCTGTATAAAATTATTATGTAAATAACATCCCACAGGTAACACGTTGATACTATATATCCTCGAACATAAGGTCTCACTGAAAAATAATCCCTAGCATGATTTTTCAGGATGCTCATAATACAGCTGTACCCCCAAAATAAGCCCCAGTTAACATTATCTCTCATCTGGACACATTTAGTACCTCCCTGATGGCACGCAACAGATGGATGCGATTACAAATATCAATATATCATTAAATAGAAAGTATTATTGTAGAATAGATAACAAATAATTAAATATGAATAAATTTTTGACATTAATGCTTAAACTATAATATAAATTACAGGTCTTTCTAAATACCGAAGTACCACAGGAAGGGAGGGAAGCACCACGCAAACATGAACTCGGGATTTATTGCCTGCTGACCCGCCGGAGTGCAGACACAACTCGTGGATGACGTGAGCGTGCGGCCACAAACAGCTGGGGTTGGGCCCAGCACGAAGCTTCATCATTGCGTATGCTGTGCGTTATCATGGACATGCTTAGGGCACTCGTGTGAAATAAACACTTTCTGAATTTTGGTGCCTGCGATTATTCATCACATCTGTGTGGCCGCATCCTTCTTGGCTGTCATCATTCTCGTGGCCGCTCCTGTCGGGTACGTCTTCACTTAACGCTTGATTTAATGGAAACTTGGTTAAACCCAGCCTGCAAGAGGTCACGGCATGGGCGAAGAATGCATGATATAAAATCACTGACAGCTGGGTTGCCAGTACGCTACCCGCAGGCTGCACGGACAAGAAGCACTCATTTAAGGAATTCTTTATTGCTGGACATGAGACACTGGGGCCAATGATTCTATAGGAAATGGAGGCACAAGAAGTTCGGGCTAGAATTCGAGCTTCAGAGAGTTAGGACGATGCTCCAGAAAGGACATGACAGGAATATGGGTTGTTATACATGAAAATAAGGCCTATTTGCATCTTCTGAAGCAAAACTTAATGTAAGAACCAGTCTTATTATGGGAAAACATGGTATATATGGCAAAAAGCAGTAAGATGTCCTGCCAAAGACTGATGTTTAGAGACATGGATGAAATTATTATTATTAGAGGTTACTGAGTTAGGAACAAAGCAATTACAGCCCACCAATTAGTATGTTTGTTCCTTTCAAGTTCTCATTCCCACTTTTTCTTCCAGTGCACCAGGCCCTCACTGACTTCATGTGTCTTCCAGAGGTAGAGATACACAGAAGAGTACTGTGCTGGGTTGTAAAGTAAGTCTACTTGTTCTTGCAAAGAATACATAAGTTATCTTCATAAGGAGGTGCAATCTTGGTAAGGACATTTTCTCTGTTGGTGAATAATATTAAATACTCAAGAAACCTCATCTCCAAGGGGGAAAGTTTTGGATTATTGCACTGTGGATAGTGCCCTCGTGTGGCTTCCAAGTTTACTTACATTTTAAGAATTTTAAAACACATTTCTATGTCACAAACTATAAAATGGAACACAATGACAAATAAAGCACAAGAGAAAAAGAAACAGCTCAAGAAAATGTGATAATTCACTATTTCCTAATCCTTTTGTCAAGCAGAATGGGATACCAATATGGCGGATGGGTTGTCTGGTCCACTAGTTAGGAATAATCAAATATCCAAATTTTACAAAATATTAGTTGTTCGGTTAAAATATTAACAAGTTGCATAAGTGATTTTTACTTTAAATTTTATTTTACCAAAACAAAATAGTTCAACCACATAAAGAAGTAAATTTCAACAACCAAGAAGCTAATGGCTTCCCTGATTCTGAACAAGTGGTAGAGTAGGAAGTCCCAACAGTTGACTGCATATGTGAGCGTCGGTCACCCTCAAGAGCTCCAAGTGACAGCAGCTGGTGATTTTCCCTGTCTCTGTCTCTTCCAATGGTGAACTAATGTCTCCCAGTGCTCTTCAGACCAAACTATGTATATTCTCACACAGGTGCAAAGCATGGGTGAAAAGACTCATTCCAGGTGGATCTAGCACACCAGATTCTCCATATCCTGACACCAATATTTAATGAGTTCTGAAAGATAAAGATAAGAAATTGTGCTTAAAGGTGGAGAAATTTAGTGTTTTAAAAGCCAACGTGTCTCTCTCACACAAACAATGGGAATAACAACTGGAGTGAAGAAAAACACCCACGCCCTGCCTGCTATAGTAGTAGAAATATGATCACCCATAGAGCCAGGCAGGCCATTTTCTCCTCCCCGTATTAAATTATGTCTGGGGAATTGAGCAGCAGCACATTCCCATAATGATGACAGTTTCCATAACTATAAAAATCTGCTGCACCAAGGCAAATTTTGTGTAAAATGCAAATTTCTATGCTAGGGGAAAAAATGAATAATGTGATCTTCTAAGTAAAGAATGTAAATGCAAGGAAATACTTTTTGGCATGAGGCTGCAAATCATTTATCTTTCATGCCAAGGACTGTGGTCACAATGCACTCTGCAAGGCTACTCTTCCAATCTCAGCTTTGGAAGGGAGATTTTAGGAAGGGAATGTCCAGCTTGCTCTAGGCTACTCACCAAGCAACTAGCCATGTTTTCCTGTGAGCTCAGAAACGTTCCACCCATCCTTTGGATGACTTGCAAATGAATCACAGTTTCTCCTGGTTACTGTAAGGTATGAACCAAGGGAATATTAGTTTTATCTAGAATCCCAAAGATTATATCTAACAGGAAGGGTGAGACATTCTTCATCATGCTTTAAAACAAGGTGGACCAGGTTGTCCCGAACCTGGACATGACGTGAAGAGTCCGTTAATAGTTTATGTTGCTAGGGGAGGACGTGAGGGTGCTCTCCTCCGCATGTCTTATGTGAGATGGTACTTGCACACCATGCCTCAAAAGCATGGTGAAGGATCCAAAGGGCCCCTCACTGCAGTCTATGCCCACAATCCCTAGCACTATTCTCCACAGGGAGCTGAGGCACCAGTTTGTGAAGAGCCTTAGCTGAAATACAATAAAATTAACAGAACTGGGGAAAAGAGAAAATCTCTGGTCTTTCAACTCTGGCTTGCCTTGTTCTAAAATAAAATTCCTTTTCCCTTAACCATCACACAGTACACACTTGTAGCAGGTAAAACTGCAGTGATTAATTGATAATACTGAAATTTTATTTTCCATACCTCATATTGGGTTATGGATTGCTGGTGTAACCCTTCAAATGTATTCCTGTAATTGCATTTCACTTTAAGAAAACCCATAGGAAAATTAGGTTTATAGAAATCAGAGATTGTTGCTTTACAAAAGAATTCTCCATTGGGGGAAAAAAAAATGTTACCCAGGAGCATACTTCTGCAGTCCCAGCTACATGGGAGGCTGAGATGAGGATTGTGAATTCAAGCCCAGCCCTGGGCAACTTAGCTAGACCCTATCCAAAAAACAAAACAAAAAGCCCACAACAAAAAACGCACAGAAATTTTACCTTAGGATACCTTCTATAGCCACTCCCCTAGGGTCAATTTTTTAAAATCCATTGAAATACAGCTTTTCAGATATTCATGTTGATAAAAGTACGGTTCACTTGGGAACATTGCCACATAGTAGCCAAATGGCCAAGCGACGCAGGATGACAAATGCCTACCTCTACAAGTGACACAGATTGTTAAGGAAATGGAACTCAACATTCTGCCGTGTTGGTTCAAGGTTTGGCCATGGCATCCACCGTGGTGGCTCATAGGAGGACAGAGTTTCCATGGCTATCCTGCATCACAGTTATTTAGAGCTATGACTTACTGATTTGGGTTCAATGGTCCAGTTGACAATTTAGGGAAGAATGATCTGGAGGGTACTCTTCTACCCCTGACACCAGTGTCTTCCAAGAAAAAGTGGAAAAGGTAGCCAAGTATGTTTTCTTCCGCTCACAGATCGGTGTTCTGGTTTCGCTTTTTACTTTTTGAATTGCGAGCCAACATTTATAAGCTGTAGGACTACACCCTGAAGTCTGGGACTCTGGAGAAAACTTAGATGGAGCTTCATTAAACTCACATTCTGCATAGCAGTAATTTGTTGAAGGTGGCTATGCTTCAGTTCCTCACAATCCCCACCCAAATTTCTCTCATGCAAGATTCCTGAGGCAATGGTTTTCCTTGGCGAACATCTCCAAGCCAAGGAGCCCATGTATTGAAATGGAAGGGTAAGTTCTCTGTGATTAACTCTCACCAGCATTGGAACCTGGTGGGACTTTCATTCAGCTTATCATGATCATCTTTCTTAGGTAAGGAAACTGGGGTACAGGGACAGTCTTCTCTATGATGTCCAGGGCAAAGGCATCCAGGGTTTCATCTGTCCCCTCTAGATCTTGGCTGCTTTCCTACACTGCCTCTCTCAGTACAACGGTGCAGATCTTCCAAAGGGTAAAGAATCATCTCTTTGCTTTGGTTTGGTTTTTAAAGAATACTAAATTTGTGTTGAGAGTCCTTTCTTACCTCCCTTTGTATGTGGTTATTAGCTAGGATATTTCTCGGTGTGTATGAAATGACCACGTACATGTGCTAAGTAACTAAGGGAAGCCTGTCTTGTGGTAAAGTTTTCTATGGCTAACACCAAAATTGGAAAATTCCCATGAAGATATCGAAGTTGGACCATACTTAATCACAGGCACGGACTTACTAAATTATGTTCAGATGTGTGCCTTGCCTTTGAAGTACAAGGAGTCGTGTGAGCATCATCACCCCAAAGTTAAGCCAAAAGAGCTTGGCTATAAATTTCAAATTGTACAAAACCATACCAAAAGCAAGTACAAAATTTTATTGAAATGCAGCAGTGTAAACTTCTTTAAGTCTTTCCTTTCCCATTTAAGGAGAGAGAGAGGACGGCAGGAAACCTGAGGCTCGGCTCAGTGGGTTGGCTGACGTCGATCTGCTATTTTCTTCGGCACAGGGGCGCAATGGCTTGGAATACTGAGGGATTTTATCTGTGCTGTTCAGATTTGCACAACACAGGCGCTGATTTAATTTGACAGCGAAGTAACACCAAGCCCCCAAAATAAAATTACTGAGATGTAAAACAGCGTCAAAACTCCAATTAGTTTTGTATCCTTGAAGCTTCTGGAGGAAGTCTAAAAGGCTCCCGTCACGAGGAGCAGGCATCAATTCAAGCCGCACAGATTACTAAAATGTAACCCTCCTAATTGAAATTGCTCAGAGCACAATATGACAAAAAGAATCAGAGGAAAATAAGTGGAATTTTCCCCCTCAAAAAATGACTCATTACAGAGAGACTGTTCTATTGACTTTTAACACAGTGTTCTTTTGCAAGAGCTGGGGTGGGGGGACCAACGGTCTCAAGGGTCTCAAGGGTCTCACGGGAACAGCAGCAGGTACAGGAGCCGAACGTGCTTGTGGTGTTTGACCATACACGAGCATTGGCCATTAGTGCAACACGTAGAAACTATCAGCATTTCACCAGAGAGGCATTTTGAGATGTATTTACAACTTCTGCTCAGGAAGGAGATTACTCCGACCAAGCCAGTTTTTTAATGACTCTGAATTTCGTCTCCAGAATGAACAGAAATATTTCCACGCTCAATTCACACCCCCATCTTTCTTTCAAGCTCCCCCAATAACCCCACGCGTGCTTCCCATCTTGACGCAAACCCTCAGCTCACTCATGGAGAAATGAGCTGCGTTGCTGGGTGGTGTCCACTCTGAGCAGACGCGTCGCTGTGGCTCTCAGCTAACGCCGTTCTACCCGAGTGAGGCGGCGGGGGGGGGGGGGGGGGG